GTCCCATTTGTTGACTTTCATAGCTTCCTGAAAGAGCTCGTGAAAGATATTTCCGAACACCTGAGGCTTGCTAACGTCGCTTGAATTCTTGATACGGTCCTGGAGAACTGCTCTTCGCTGGCAACTGATAGAGTCTGCGACGACGGTCGCGGATATCAGATGGTCTGGATGAAGTATAATCATATTATGGGCATCATCGACAATGCATTGCCCTGTTGCATCGAAATCGCCGGTCAGGTGGATATATGCACCCTTACTGCATGGGCTGTCGAACCAAGACTCTCGCAAGATTACTGCCTTTTTGTTCTTGGTCTTTTCATCCTGAACCAACAGCACCTATCCGATTTGTTAGCCAGCAACGGCATATCTGATGGGTTTGGTCACAACAAACCTGCTCTGGCTGAGTGCGACCTTTTTGAGTGATATACGTATTCTCTGCAATATCAACAATCAAATATCGTTTGACAGCTTGCCGGTCTGTAAGGTTCTAGCTCTGATGTATTTAGCAAAATCCTATGGAAAGTACCAACTAAGAGCGACAAACGTTGACTGATCCATTTCTACCTGGCTCCATAGACTGCTCGATAGCCTCCACGTCAAAGTCGTCATCATCAAACTCGTCACCAGAGGATGTTTCCAAACTCCCCTTAGAAATGTCGTAAAATCCTTCTGTTTCAGATGGTCGTTTCGTATTCGGTTTTATACGAGGTTGTTCGTTAGCCGACTGCTTCGCTGACGCTTTTGGTCCTGGAGGAGTCAAGCCTGCGGTTCCATCGCATTCGGCAAGAATATCCTCTATATCGTCGAAGTCATCGTCGAATTCGTCACTGTTCACAGCTTTGTGGACACTGGACTCCCGGGTGCCCGAACCAGGAGCTCCTGCGTTATGGTTCGAGTCTCCTAAAGAGCTAAGTTGACGTCGAGGCTGTTCCACAGTAGATTCGTCAGGGGCTTCGATGTTCATTGGATTCGTATAGTTGTTGGGCCAGGTTGGTTCAAGGAATGGGTCCTCAGACGCTTCGGCCAAGGTGAGAAAGTCCTCATCCAAGTCATCATCACCGAAATCAGATGAAGAGGCTCCTACGCCTTCGGGTCCGTTTGGTTGTACAAGTGAGTGAGCAACCACGTCGTCACACTCAATGACTTTCTCTGGAATTTGCGCCGCGGCCTTTCTCTCGACAGGAGAATTCGATCGGCTCCATCGCACTTGCTTGCGTTTCGGCACGGGTGACGAATCCGACATTTCTGCTGGAGCGACAGAGGGCTTCTGCAAGCTTCTCTCAATTTTTTCCAACAAAAAGTTGAGTCTGGAAGATTTCGTATTTGCGGACTCCAGTACATTACTCTTAGATCGGGAGAAAATGTTGCGCCCACTACCGAACTCTTGTCCATTCAACCTTCTCCGTTTTGCTTTAGATGTGGGCCACTCCGCATTGCAACTAACTGACCTCCTCAAACCAGAAGAATCCCTACTGATGCTGGCCGAGGCAGGTGTTTGGGGTGAAGACGAGAGAAGGTTAGCTAGGCGAGGAGGAGGAAAGCTTTCCTCTGGATTGATCGAAGCCTTGCCCAGGTAATTGTTCCACAGGTCTGTTGCGAGATCGCTCTGCGGTGTTTTGAGGAGCGCTTGGAAGGATTGCATATCAAAGGACCGTTTCCGTTCCCCCTTCTTGCTTGCACCTAGTGGAGAGCTGGTGGGGGATGAGCTGTGACGCCGTTTCTTTCTCGTTGCGGAAGGTTGAGAGAGTGTATCCGGGTTCGAGCTCGCAGGTACATGCTGCCAGATGACATGATCCTCCGGCGTGTATTCTTGCCCTGGTGCTCGGCTAAATGCGTCTTCTGCATTGCTAATGAGGTCGGCCAGGGGTATCCTGTTCCCTGGCGTCTGAGGACACTCCTTGGCTGGTTTCGGCTCGTTCGGTTCGCCAGAAGGCTCTTCTTTTTGTGGCTCTGATTGCAATGGTTCGACTACTCCATTCAACCACGAAGTTTGGTTTTCCTTGTCTTCGTGACCTGCCTTTAATAGCGACTTCGTAGGCGACTTTCCTCCATTGTTCTTATGTTGGTTGTCGAACCGGAAGGCATTCAACTTGGAACGTGAATTGGAGGATATCGGGTAGGAGTTCGAGTTTCCAGCCATGGCTCAAGAGTTGTTGGATATTTCAGCTTTCTGTAGGACATCGGTTCATGTCGGCCTGGGACTTCAAGAACAACAGATTGGCACGAGCTGTAGCAATGAGTAGAGTGTCGTGTCTACCATTGAAGTAGGACGTTGGATAGAGGCGCGTTGTTTTCTGATCAAAGCAGAAGTCCAAGTATAATATTCGTCCAGACCATGGCTGGTGATCGTCTCGATGTAGCACAATGATTGCCGCCGATGAGGAAATGGGGTATGCGGATACTCGAGACGCGTCGCGCGTTGATGGCTCCTGCCTGAGGTGTATACTGGTGCCTGTAATGTCAGGCAGAAAAGCAGCGTCTAGATTGCCTCAATAGGGACTAGCGTGGTGGCTCCAAGCTCCCGCTCCATCGGCCTTTTGCGGCTTCAAGGAACATCAACCACTAGACCCCAAGCGCCCCTCCACATACCGCAGCCTCATCAACAGCTGCGAATCGAGCTATTGTCCAATTGAACTCAGGGCAACTGTCGCCAGTCTATATCATTCTTTACAGATCTCCGAAGTACCTCCTTAGCATATTTGGCAGGGGTCCTCTACCTAGCGTCGCCTTCCAACTATCAACCGGCTCTTCAAAGGAAAATTGGCAGTTTCCTTCACAATAATCACAATGTCTGCTCGCCCTTTGTCGCAAGCCCTCCGTGCTCGCTGCCTTCTCCGCGGTCCTCAGAACACTAGGGGCTTCTCGACCCGGAACACTCTCCGCGCCGCTGACCACGGTAATCACTATGACCCTCCCACTGGATGGCTCTTCGGCGTCAAGCCAGGTCAGAAATACGTGAAGGAAGGATGGGAAAACATTTGGTACTACGGATTTATTGGCAGTTTGCTCGCTGGTGGTGTTGCATACATTTTCAAGCCTGATACCTCGTACGTTTCATCCCCGCGTCCAGCTATTCATCGGAGGCCTTTCCCTTCTTATGAGCGGCTGTACCGTATCGACTTGTGTTATTCCGAGATCATAGGTACTGATTGTCTTCTAGGATACAAACGTGGGCTTTGGAGGAGGCCCGACGAAGGCTGGAGGCCGAAGGCATCCTGGAGGACCCTGACAAGGTCCAGCACAAGTGATCGCATTACTCCCGATTTTCCTTGTACACTGTACATAGAGTGATCGGCTATGAAAGCGCCTTACCACCTGGTCTGTGATACATATGGCGTATGAGCCCAACTTAGACGACGTGCTTTTTCAAAGTCTTTGTTCTCCTTCAATTCTTGTTCCACGCAGAGGGATTTTTGTCGTCCTTGTATCTCTGAAAGTCTCAAAATGAAGTCACTCAAAGAAATCTTTTCAAGGGACAAGACGTTAAGCCTGATAGAGCAATGTTTGTTGGTTACCTTTAAAGACGCCTGGGACGAGCATTACGTAGCAGGTATTATGGAGTAGCCTTTAACGTGCACAAGATCTACTGGGCTTGGGTTGAATGTCTTAGCAATTAAATCAGGTTCTATACCTCTGGATATATGTCAGTTCTCCTTAATAAGGGCATCTCTCTCCTGACCTTCTCCAAGAGATTGAGGTCAATCTCAGCGGTAGCGACTGCTGGCTCTCGATATTCGTCTCTGAGTTTCGCCATGATCTCTCCCCATGGATTAACAATCATTGAATGGCCATAGCTTCTCCGCTTTTCATTGTGCGGACCAGCCTGAGCCGCAGCCACCACATACGCCTGTGTCTCGATAGCTCTTGCTCGGAGCAATGTCTCCCAATGAGCCTGTCCTGTTTGAACCGTGAAAGCCGATGGATATGTAATGATCTGCGCATTCTGACGCTTTAATGCTAGACTGATTTCAGGGAAGCGCAGCTGTAAAGCAAGTAGCAAGTAAGATTATGATATCCTCGCTTTGGAACTTGGGCCACTAGACTCACATCGAAGCAAATAGAGAGACCAACACGTCCTAGAGGGGTGTCGAATGGTGGCAGAATTTCCATACCCTTTTCAACGCTCCTTATTACCGCAAAGGTGAGCCGTGCATGCATGCTTCTACTTGGGGTCTACTTACGCGCTCTCCTTGAGGACCGGCCCGTCTTTGATCTCGACATCGAATAGATGAATCTTCTGGTAGCGTTGAGTAATCATACCCTTATCATCAATCCAGATCAGAGTATTCTTGACTTTGCCGTTCGGCGCCGGTTCATGTATGCCAACGTTGATATGCAGGCTTGCCTGCCGGGCTTCATGCTGGAGTCCCTGCACAAACAGGCTGTCCTGCACGGATTGCACAAGCGATATGCTTTCTGCTGGCGAAGAGGCAATGTAGTCTGATGCCTCTGGAAGGAACAAGGCCTGTTCAGCATTAGGCTATCAAAGTCTCAAGAGCGCCTAAGCTCCCGTGAGAGAGGAGGTAAAGTGTACCATACTTTAGCACCAGATGCCACAGCTTTGCGCACCAGAACCTGACACTGAGCCAGGTTCGAAGTCATACTCGCGGTCGAGCATAGTTGCCCGACTGCCTGTTGTGGTTCTCATTAGTAAGGTAGCTTTGAGCTGAAATTGGGGAGTTATTCGGCTCTCACAGCAATGGCCATTGTTATATTACAGGGTAGTCTATGATTCCTTTCTGATAGAAAAGTGTCTATATACAGTCCAGGGACAACGTGTAATGGGTACCGTAGTAGGATGCTAGCTTGATACCGAGCATCGATAACGGGTACGATAGCGATATCAGAGGGGCTTACCTAAAACCGCCAAGCTCCGCCGACCGAGATTCAACGCCGGAGCAGATCATGCACAAACGTCAATCACTGCGGTGCGGCTCGGAAATACACAGTGTTCTGTGCGAAACCAGGTCTGACAGGAATCAGATCACTTTTCACGAAATATGAAGAGCCTACGGAGGGAATTTTCCACTGATCCGCAGGCCGCCAATGTCACCAGCAAAATCTTCGTCAGGTCCACGAAAAGTGGAAAGGTGCAGAAGATTGTACGTGAGCTTTATCTGAGACAAGATATTCCTTGCTCGTCCAAGTTGTGTTCGCTATGTCCTACAATCGCGCCGGCAGATGCGAATGGGAATAGTAAGTTGGAGTTCCTGGCGTATGCGGAGGTTGATTGCTAATGTGGGATAGTTGCGCCTTTCGTCCTCTCAGAGCAACCCGCTGGCACGAGCGCTTTCCCTCGCGGTCACTACCTCGTCCCTGATACAAACGCGCTGCTGAATGGTATGGATCTGTTTGAACATACGGGAGCTTTCTACGACGTCATCATTCTTCAGACGGTCCTCGAGGAACTCAAGAACCAGTCGCTGCCGCTCTACAACCGCTTGCTTTCTTTAATTAAGACGGACGAAAAACGGTTTTACCTATTCTTCAATGAGTTCAGATTGGAAACTCACGTGAGAAGAGGTCAGAATGAGTCCATCAATGACAGAAATGACCGAGCAGTACGGGCAGTGGCAAAATGGTACTCTGAACACCTTCGCAGCACGCTGAAGAAGGGCAAGAAGGAGAAGTCGGTACCAGCTATTGTCGTTATCACAGATGACAAGGAAAATCTCCGCAAAGCAAAGGAAGAAGGTGTGACAGCGCTGTCGCTGTCCGACTACGTCTCCGGCTTGGAGGATGCCGACAGGCTACTTGACATGATCAGCGAGGCGAGGGAGGCAAGGGACGCAAAGGGCGCTCGCGGCGAGCTTTTCTATCCGGAGTATTACTCGGTGTCGAAAATTATGACCGAACTGAGAGCTGGCACACTGCATCAGGGCGTTTTCAATGTCTCGCCGTACAACTACTTGGAAGGGTCTGTGAATGTCGCAGCTTTTGATAAGCCACTCCTCATCCTGGGTCGTGATAATAGCAATCGTGCTATTGCAGGGGACATTGTTGTTATTGAGGTCTTACCGAAAGATCAGTGGAAGTCACCATCCACAAAGCTTGTTGACGAAGAAGCAGTCACGCGGAACGATAATCCCGAGGCGGAGGATAATGAAGAGGTGGTGACAGAAAAGGAGCGGAAGGCTCTGCAGGAAGAAGTCAAGAAGGCGCATGGCAAGAATTCTGAAGGAAGGCCGCAACCCACGGCTAAGGTTGTTGGTGTCATCAAGCGGAACTGGCGCCAGTACGTCGGACATGTTGATCAAGGTTCGACGGGGGCGTCAGCCAGCTCTGGACGGCGGCAACAGAACGTTTTTGTCTTACCCATGGATAAACGTATTCCAAAGATCCGGGTCCGTACTCGGCAGGCTAGCGACCTGTTGGGCCAGCGGATTTTGGTCACGATTGACGCCTGGGATCGCGATTCTCGGTATCCTACTGGACATTTCATTCGCTCTCTAGGAGGACTAGAGACCAAAGGAGCAGAGACGGAAGCCCTACTTCTTGAGTATGACGTGCAGTACAAACCATTCCCCAAAGCCGTTCTGGATTGCCTTCCGTCAGAAGGACACGACTGGAAAGTTCCTGCCAACAAAGAACATGTGGGCTGGAAAGGACGAAGAGATCTGAGGGATATTCTGGTCTGCAGTATTGATCCTCCTGGATGCCAAGATATTGATGACGCCCTCCACGCGCGGCCTTTGCCTAACGGTAATTTTGAAGTTGGCGTCCATATTGCAGACGTGTCGCATTTTGTCAAACCGAACAATGCCATGGACCTGGAGGCTAGCGTCCGTGGAACGACAGTCTACCTAGTCGACAAGCGTATTGACATGCTTCCGCATCTTCTCGGCACGGATCTCTGCTCTCTCAAGCCATACGTCGAGCGCTACGCCTTCTCCGTCCTCTGGGAAATGACTCCGAACGCTGAAGTTGTGTCTGCTGAGTTCACAAAGTCCGTTATTCGTTCGCGGGAGGCCTTCAGCTACGAACAGGCACAAATGCGCATCGACGACCCTTCGCAAAAGGATGAGCTGACTCAGAGCATGCGCACCCTACTCCGTCTATCGAAAATTCTTCGTCAGAAGCGAATGGATGCGGGAGCGCTGAATCTTGCGTCACCGGAAGTTCGAATCGAGACGGACAGCGACGAAGTTGGCGACCCGCTCACGGATGTCAAGACGAAGGCAATGCTTGCAACCAACAGTCTCGTTGAGGAGTTCATGCTTCACGCCAACATCACTGTCGCGGCCAAAATCTACGATAGCTTTTCCCAGACTGCTTTGCTACGTCGGCACGCCACTCCTCCGCCACAGAATTTTGAGGAGCTCATCAACCAGCTCTCGAAGAAACGCAATCTGGAACTCGATGTGTCGAGCTCGCGGGCGCTCGCTGACTCGCTTGACCGATGCGTCGATGCGGAGAACCCATTCTTTAACACTCTGGTCCGTATCCTTGCCACCAGGTGTATGACATCTGCGGAATACTTCTGTGCGGGTGCGCATGCCGAGTCTGAGTTCCGCCATTACGGTCTGGCCTCTCCCATCTACACACATTTCACCTCTCCTATCAGACGATATGCGGATTTGCTCGTCCACCGACAGCTCGCAGCTGCGATTGGATACGAAGGCGAAGACGGCCGGGCCCAGGTTGAGGGTGTCATGACACGCAACAGGCTCGAGGACATCTGCCGGAATATCAACTACCGGCATCGGAATGCCCAATTCGCCGGCCGTGCTAGCATCGAGTACTACGTTGGACAGGCGCTCAAGGCTCGTGGGGAGAAGACGGCGGCCGATGGTGTTGATGCGGGTATTGAGGAGGAAGGATACGTCATGCGCGTCTTTGAGAACGGCGTGGTTGTCTTCGTTCCCCGGTTTGGAATTGAAGGCGTTGTCCGCCTGGAGGATTTCGTACTTCCGGGCGAGTCGGCAGTCCGGTCCGTCGAGGAAAGGCGGGAGCTGCTGCTGCGACGGGAAAGCGATTTTGACGGCGAGGAGTACACGCTCCGTGTCTCCGAGAAGGGACATCCTGAGAAGGAACGTGGCCTTACCGTCGAGCTCTTCCAGCGAGTCAAGGTGAATGTCAGCTCAGTGAAGGAAGAAGGCGGCCGCGGAGCTGGAAAGCGACGGGTGCGGATACTGATTCTGGGGGCCGGGAACTAAAAGTTTTGAACTTGCCATACTACGATATCCGGATGTAAAGCATAGACATAGGGTTACTGGCGTTCAGCGGTACGAACATACATTTGCGCGGCTGCTTGATCACTCAAATCTATAATACTTCCAGGCTTAGAGTGATGTAAGGACGGATTGAAAATTGGATGTGGGGTATCATAACGTGCACTCGAACAGACCCCGGCAACAACAAAGATATTGCGCATCATGTTTTGTTAATTGTCATACCCGCTTCAAAGCCACCATCCCACGTAACAAGGTCGCAGGCGTCCAGGGGTTCAGATTCGACGTCCCACACACGGAGAATGCAGGATCGACCGCTTGACCGTGTTTCTCGGTTTCGGTATCCTTGGTTGGCCCGGCAGAAGGCACATTCCCAGCCGCACCATCACCTGCTTGTCGGGTGTCAACCGCAGCGATAGCTTCATCCTTGGCGCGAGCCAAGTCACCTACTTTCCAGCCTCGGACAAGCCAAAGACACAGGGCACTGGCGATATACATGAAGCCCGTGAAGATCTGCACCCTCAGGTACTTCGAATCTGTGGACTTGTTATCGCGCAGCAATAGGGCGATCGCCTCCGAGACCGTCGTCGGAGGCACGAGCGTCAGCCAGGTAATGCTGAGGCCGCTGGGAAGGTCCCGGAGACCGAGGATCTCGGCCGCCACGGGGGTACAGGTAGCCCAGTATGTGCCTGCGACATTGCCGACGAGGACGGCGAAGAAGGAGACAAGACCCATGCTGCGGGCAAAGATCCAGATCACAAGGCAGAACAGGCCGCAGAGGAAGGAGAGGAAAGTGGCGATGTTGATGCGACCAAACTTATCGCTGAACATGCCCACGAAGGGACGGCCGAGTCCTTGGCCGAGGTTAAGTAAGGCGCTGACGATGCTGCCCTGGTGCGGGGAGAGGCCAACGGAGAGGGCGAAGTTGGCGATGCTGAAGAGAAGCGCGACGTAGCCGAGCATGGTCAAGATGCCCCAGCCGAGGAAGAGGAGGAACTCGGGCCGTTTCAGCAGAGGCAGGTGGAAGGCTTTGAAGCGGCTGCCGACGGCCTTGTTGCGGTCCCGGAGGAGATTGGCGCAGACCAGGTTGACTACGCAGGCGATGATGCCGAGGACCCGGAATGTCCAACCTAGACCAAGACGGGGAATCATGGCGCCTACCGCTAGAGACCAGATCAGACCTCCCAGTCCTGAGCCGGCGGCGTTGATGCCCATTGCAAGACTTCTTCGCCGTTGGAACCACTGCGGAGTAATCCCCACGCTACCAACGAACAGGAAACCCATTCCCCATCCGAAACAGACGCCCTGACTGAGGAAGATATGCCACTTTTGCGTGGCAAAGGAGGATCCAATCAAGGAGAGGGTTTCGAAGAAGACGCCTAGGTTGAGGACGAACCGCGTTCCGAAGAGGTGGATCAGATGTGTGGCCAGAGGGGCAACGAGGAGCGCGCAGGAGATACTCAGACCCCCAGTGAAGGCGTACGACAGCGCACTAGTGTTGGGGAAGACATCATGCGAGAGATAATAAGAAAGGAAGACACCGTAGCTCTATATAGAAACGATTAGTCCTCATTCCGTCTGGCATAGATGGTACTTACACTGTTGATGCCCCAAGTGTGCGCATTGATCCAGAATACACAAGCGACACAGACCCATCCGTAACCTCCATCCGGTACATCTTGGGAATTTTTGCGGTCCGGTTCTGCTATTGGTGTTGAATCATCGAGACGGTGTCGATGATCCCGCTTGTATAGAGGGTCCTCAGCGGCCGGATCTCGGTCATGATCTCTTGAACGAATAATATCGATCGGCGGATTATCTGCCATTGCAACTTGGAATGGTGGATTCTACGCAGAGGCAGGTTGACTCGAGTTGAATATGCTTGTCACCACGACCCAATCATACATATCAGGAGCACAGCAAGCAGAATCCGAACTTGGACCCCATGAGTAGTTCGAGGAAGAGAGAACCAGAGGTGATGAGGAACAGCATGACCGATTTTAGCAAGAGAGATATAAGCAAGACAATATATTCAGTCTAGTCTATCTCTTGCGGTGAGAAGGAGTGAAAAAGAAAACGGTTTGTCATCGATTTGACGCTTTCTAGAAACGGCTCCTTGGCCATATACGGTTTCGGCGATCTATCCGACTGTCCAAGCGCCATCATTGGGTAAACGGCACATGGATCAACCAGCAGCTACCGTGCCGATTAAGCGGTGCGGAGTCAAGGATTCTCTGTAGTCTGTAGATAGACTGTTCTCTCTGGAGATTGGAAGTTGAAGTTGGAGATCAACTCGTGGAGTGACGGGGTGAGATTCTGGGGAAAGATGGAATGGATCAGAATGCAAGGCTCGGAGGAAACCTGGTCAAGCATGATTTCACATCACAATGCTGTACTCGATAGGCAGACATTTCCTTTACATCGCCAGTCATAGTCATGTCCATCATCCTTCATCCTCGGGATTATGTATACAGTGTACCCTCGGCAGTAACAAGGTACCATCGCCACGAGGAGGACTAATGTCCGAAATGCGCTAGGCTTGTTCAGGCTTAGGGCCTCAGGTGTCAACAGCTGACATAAGCACAACCCCGCGTTGCCTCGCGACGGGAAGTTTGACTTGTTTGCATCTTTGTTGTTGTTGTTGTTGTGGTCATAGCTTCCTCTTCCACGATGAGGGGATGATGGCACGATAGCAATAATAATCCGAGTTACCTTAGTAGAGTACACTGGATTCCCTGCATTAATTACAAATACTCTTAATCTACTTGAACAATCCAATCTAAGCATATTCTAATCTAACTCATCATAACTTTAGTCAACCTAGAAGATCTCTCTAGTTCATTCCATCCCTGTCACTCCAGCCACCATCTGCGAGCCTATTGGCTCTGACGTGACTCCATAGGTACCTTGTCTACTTAGCTTCGAGCTGAGAGTACAACTCATCAGAGGTGTCTCCATCTCCATTGAGTCCCTACTGTCGTCTTAGACTTCTTCACATCTCAAGAAGCTAGACCAGGATGATGCAGAGACCTCATCTTCCCGGCCATACTAAGGCCAAAGATGGCCAGCGGAAGGTTTCCCCCCCGGGCCCGACTTATATGTCCAGCGATCAGTTCGGTGAGTTTGCATTGCTGGCTGACTCATGGCATTCTTGGAGATTGTCGCGGTTTTTGACAGCTTGACACCTTTGGGGTTGGCTCCGTGATTACGTTGAGCTAATAATGTGACTTGATCTCCAGCAAACTATCTGAAAGACTTGCGAACGAATCGACCAGCCCGTCCGAGTGGATCTAGACCCATTCCAACAAGAGCAGCAGGATCAGGCTCAACCCCTCGCGAGACTCTCCCTCCTCGAGCGTCGTCGTCAATGTCAATGTATGGACACCCCAGCACCCAGCCTACTTCGCCCGAAGCAGAGCACCCTCGAGCCAGCAGCTCTCTGTCAACCCATCGCCCATTCGAACCCCACGTCTCCTTGGGGAGCTCAGCTGGGCGCCCATTAGTACAGGAACCGAGAATGGTGCCGATACGCAAGAATGTTTCGCCATCGCGTGTTTTCTCACGCCCGTCGCCTGCATCTCCCAATGCTGTTTATCGTGAAAGTGGTCAGCGCCGGGTAGAGAAGGAGGAAGCACGCTCCTTGCGGGATGCGTTGCAGGAATTGGACTCGCATGATGAGATACGCCTCCATCAGGCTGCACAAGACGAAGCCACAGAGCTAGTCTGGATGCATCAGAACCCCGGCGTGCCCTACAAAAACCCATATGCGCCGTATCATAACCCCGACCTGGACAGATCATCCCAGACGCCAGAGAGCGCTGACCGTTCTCACAGCCAGAGTGACAAGACTGGCGGGCCCATGAATAATCATCGATCGACCTCAGAAAGCTCTTCTGACAGCCATTTTGCCGATGCTGGGCGGACAGGTTTAGCTATAAAGTATGACCGACAACGCCAGCATGTGGTAGAGGACTCGGCAAGCAGCCCTACAAAGTCCTCATGGCCGCGGAAGAATGTCAGAGTCGATTTTGCGTTGCCCGCCGAGGAATCGCCCTCGAAATCTAGAGGCGGCGGGAACTCATGTCTTTCCAGGTTCGGTAGCGAGTCATCGAGAGGGATTTTTCGAAATCCTCGTGACTCTATTTACGAGGAACCGAAAGACCTTCATGGCCGCGAGGAGGATGGGCGACCGGAATTTTCCAGGTCCGACTCATCAGCTCTTAGAGCAAAGCCACGCAATGCCCTACCGCGAGGCTCTCGACCCCTTCCGGGACGACTAAGCAGTCTTCCGTTCGTTGACAAGTTGGCGCGGTTCGAGCTACATAAACAACATCCAACCCAATCGAGAAATCCGGACTATAGGACGAACGACCCGCTCCCGCAAGCAGCCCCGGATGAAGAAGCGGACAAAGAGCCGGCCGTTCAGGCCGTTCCTACGAAGAATGGGATTGAGATTCGCAGCGAAGAAATCAGGGCGGCTACAAGTAAGAGGCTTAAGGATCGAAGCACAAAGCTACCTATGCCCACAGCCGTCAGTAATCGCGTTGGCCGGCCGATCGTGAGTTTTGACCCGACTTGGAAGCCCATTGAGGCCCAGTCACCGCAAAAGCGTGACAGCCTGAGGCAGGATTCGGCCTCCCCAACACCGCCGCTGCAGCTTGCTGCCCCTACTATTGAAGCATCCGAGCCGCCGGCGATAACGGTTATCAATGTTCCGGACGAGAAGGAGCCCACCATTTCGGAGATGGCAGCACCATCTCAGAAGGAAAGGGGAGGTACTAGGCCTCTGCCAGATCCAACGAGCACAAAGCACCACCCGCAATCATCTCCTCGAAAATCTGCGCAGTCCTCACAGAAACCCTGGTTGTCAACGTATACACGCTCTGGAGTACCAACAGCGAAATGCGAGTCCTGCTCGCTTCCCATTGCAGGGAAGATTGTCACAGCGGCGGGGGTTCGCTTTCACCCAGAGTGCTTCGTGTGCCATCATTGCCATACGCCCTTAGAATGTGTGGCCTTTTATCAGGAGCCCGATGCCAAGCGCCATGAGCGATTAGCAGAGGCGCCAAGTGACGACGAGGAGGCGCGTATGTTGCGCTTCTATTGTCATCTAGATTTCCATGAGAAGTTCAGCCCCAGATGCAAGAGCTGCAAGACCCCGATTGAAGGCGAAATTGTCGTGGCATGCGGAGCCAAGTGGCATGTCGGTCATTTTTTCTGTGCCGAATGTGGTGATGTATGTCCTGACCTTGTTCAACACTGTAAGCGAACCTGACTAATTTTGTTATAGCCCTTTGACTCAAACACTCCTTTTGTGGAAAAGGACGGGTTCGCATGGTGCCTCCAATGCCATTCTCGGCGCACCGCGCCTCGATGCTTGGGCTGCAAGAAGCCTGTCCTGGAGGATGTCGTGATCAGCGCCGTTGGGGGCCAATGGCACAGTGAATGCTTCGTCTGTCACGAGTGTGGCGACGGCTTCGGTCCGGACGGCCGGTATTTCGTGCGAGAGGGCGAGCCCAAGCGAACGTCCAAAGGACGGATCATTGGGGGTCCTGTTCAGTTGGCTGTATGTGAGCGATGTGAGAGCATCCGACTCAAGGCATCACCCAAGTGATGATGCTCAACCTAGGCTCGCTGCCATTCAACATTACGATCTACACTCTGCATTTTTGATTGATCTTCTCAGATTTTGCCTACTATTTTTGAGATGACTGCATATGCAAGAAAGCGGGATATACAGCGATATGTTATGATTATGCATGCAGCGGGTGCTGTAAGACTATGATTTTTTGGTTTGAATCATACTATGGAGTTCGACAGGCAGCATCCTTCAGAATAGCATGTTTCAGATCTATCAATGCCATTACCATCCGTACTCATTTTGTATTTTGCGAATGCTTGTACCGTACTGGTGACCGCAGTTGAAATGCTCATGCAGGCCATTCAGGATCCGCCTTGCGCCGAAAGACAGCCACGTACTTATTCCCCTTATTCCGAGCCACCTTCTTCCCTTCCTCGGTGGCCTCCTTCATAACCCGCACACACTCATCCTTCTCCAGCTCCTCCTCTGAAACCCGCTCAAAGAGTTCCGTCACCCCAGCATTTGCACTTGCCCTCGCGCGCTTCTCCTCATTCCCTTCCTCGGCACCCGCCTCCACCCCAAAATGCCTCAGAATCCAATGATGATACTCCTCCACATCGGTAATGGTGTATAAAAGCCCACCGGGCCGCAGAGCGTAGGCGTACTCGGCGTTCAGGGTCTCGGAGATAATCCGGGCCTTGTGTTTGCGGGCCTTGAAGTGCGGGTCCGGAAAGCAAATGAAGATCTTGGAGAGTTGGTGGCGGGCGAAGAAATTGGGGAAGAATTTCATGGTGTTGCTGCGGATTGCGGAGATGTTTTCGTAGGAGCCCGGGACGAGGGTGGTAGGGGTGTGCTCGGTGTCGGTGGAGGGGGAGGGCGACGCTGCATCTGCAGCTGCGTTTGCGTTGGTAGGTTTCCCATCTGGCTGGGCTTGCTGCCGAGACGGATTTTCCGACCCTCCTGTCGCAGTTGCAGCCCTGAGCTTATGCTGCTGGGCCCGGAGGGCTTGGATGCGCGTCGTCACGTATTCAAGGACCGAGACGCGGATCTCCATGCCTGATTTCCAAGCCCTGTTAGCACTGCTCTTTCAACTGCATGTGTATGTGTCTCGTATCCTACCAACTATCAATGACTCCGGCAGCAGAGGCGCGAGCCCAATGAGCAACCCGCCAAAGCCACACCCGATATCCACGACCTCGACATCCTTCAGGAGCTTCCGGGCCCCGGCGAGGTTGGTATGCGACGGATCCGGATCCACAAAGGCAGGATAATGCGAGGACCAGTCCATATGCGCCGGGCTGAGGGGGCTGTATCACACGTTAGCGACGGATAGTGTCAATAGACTCGTGCTGGTGGGGACGTACTATTTCAGCTGGTGGTCCGAGAAGGGATTTGCGTGCGCCCGCTGGCGATAGTACTTTTTCTTGGGCAGCTTGATCTCTGCGACGTCGCTGGGGCCGGGTTGCGAGGTGGCCTCTGCTGTTGCTTTGCGGTATTCATCGCGCTTTTGGCGTTTGGGCGGGGGTGGTGTCATGGTTTGAATTCTGTTCTGGGTTTGATTTGGATGATTTCGGAGGGAGAATATCATATATAGAATGGGATCAGAACCGTGCTGAGCAATTGCAATCCCTTGATAGAGAAATCTTCGTGCAATGGCCGGAGGTGTGCTGGCGGGGAGTTGGACTTTTTTTTCTCAGAGCGGAAGCGTGACGTCCCTCAGGGTGTCGGAGGTGACCTTGGCGGAGTAAGCCTACATCTCCGAGAAGATAACCACCGCACAGCCTGATCGCTCATCACTCTCTCTCTTTTGCCAGATACTTTCTTTTTGTCAAATCATACTGTCCTGTTGACTTCCCGTAACGTAATGTACAGTCCGTCGATAGAATAGCCTCACCATCATTCCACCAGCAATCCTCCATACCGCAACCAACCCCGCGTCCGCAGTATCAGCATCGGCCTCAAGTATGTCAACAGCGTCCTTCTCCTACAACGCAAGCACCACATACTAACCGTATCTCCAGTTCCCTCGCGCATCAAACTCCTAGAACCGAAAAGATGTCACAGTCTCACCCCACAACAGCCTTTCAATTCCCACCAACCTACTCCTTCCCCCCCTTCTTCACACCCCAACCCAACAGCACAACCCGCCTCTCGCAGCTCCAGAAATGGTCCTCGCTCATCCAATCCTGGTGCCGCCACCATCGCATCTACCGCCTCTCGCTGATTGAAGCGATCGAGAGCCCGCTCTTCCACAATGCTACGCTGCGGAAACGGCTGAGTCTGAGCGAGGCCAGGGCCGTACTGGACTGGATGGCCAAGCCCGAGGAGGAAGGGGGCGGTGGGAGGCGGGCGGAATGGATCGATGGGGGGAGTAAGTCGGTGGCCTGGATTTGGTGGAGGAGGCCAGAAGAGTGGGCGGGAGTCGTGGCGGATTGGGTGAGTACTTCCTTTCCCTGCTTGTTGGCTAGCTTGCTGATGGTTGGTTCTAGGTGGAAGCGACGGGGCAGAAGAATGTTGTCCTGACGGTGTACGAGCTGCTGGAGGGAGAGGCTACGATGTCGCAAGGTATGGTTATGGCTTCTGTCCGTCTTGTGAGTCGTCGCTGACATCTACTAGAATGGCATGGTATGGATGCAGACGTGATGCTCAAGTCTCTGAACGTTCTTGTAAAACGCGGCAAGGCCCAGGTGTTCGGCAGCGAAGGCCAGGAAGGTGTCAAGTTTTTCTGAACAGAACTCGCTTTGGACCGCTAAAGTCAAAACTTTCGAGCTGCATGGCTATTTGCCTAAGCGCAGCATCAACTCTGTCCGCAAAGAAGAAATCTCAATATGCCTAAAGATCCAGACATTGATCCGTCATAACCATGTACAAGGTAAGTTCCCGAGAAACACCGGCTTGGCTATGCAGCAAACCTAACACCGAAACCAGGCGAACGAGCTGTCTAGTGGTCGCCCTGGTCAACCATGTCTTCCTTCAGCTCATATCCCTCAGCCTTACGCAGCTCCTGCGACATGGCAATGTCCAGAAGCCAGTCAACGCGCACGATTCGTGGCGTCTTGCTCATGCTCTGTGCCAACTGTGAAAATCGTGGCCAGAGCTTCTGATGTTCGGGTGATACACTGCTAAGAAGGTAGACCTCTTTGCGACTGAGATCATCATCCCCTGAGCTATCGTCTTCGCTCTCTTCCCGCTGCGAGTGGTAGGAGACCCTTCCGCGGAAAAGGGTGCAGGTCCCTCCGTTGACATCTACAATGGACTTGAACGCTTCAAATCCTCCGCGGATGGACTCAACACAGTAGATTTGATAGCCCTGCAGGAGCTTGTTCTTGTTCTTCTTCGCCTTGGCCCTCGCTTTTTCAAGAGAGAAGCCGAACCTCTTTTCGGCGGCTTTGTCCACCAAGGGGAAGTCGTCAGGGTTCAGAAGCTCATTCTTCTTGAGGCATTCTGTGATTAACTCGATGTTCACAATCACAGGACCGTATGCCAGCGCATTGACGAATTTGGGGGTTCGCAGTATAGACGGGGCGGCAAGATGGGTGCATCTTCGTGCATCTTGCACAACCATGATTCCAAGGTCGCGAAGTTGGCGCTGATATCATTAGCTCTTTTCCAAACATGTGCGGGTGCATATAGTCAAATATGAATTGGTAGCATACCTTGTCTGCATCTTCTTTCTTCAAATTGCCCACCCACTTCTGGTATCCAGTAATAAGGAGGTGCATGGCAATAGGTGGTTTCGACTTCTTCTGTCTCTTCGCCTCCGTCGCATTGTCTTCATCGCTTTCTTCCTGTGGTTCCACTGATCTGCGTTTCTTAGCGTTGTTCAGCACGACTCTGTCCTCGTCGCTCTTTCTTCGCCCGCCATAGATCACACCTCCGACTCGCTTCTTCTCCTTCTCATACAAGGCGATATCTGGTGCGAGTTCCTGGAGTCGATTGAAAGCCGTTTCCTTTGACTTGCGACTGCTCGTTGAAGACGGTGTGTCGTTCTCTTTGCCCTCCGACTCCAACCGAGCCCGTGCGGGCGTCTCTGGCTTCTTGTTTTCCGAAATTTTACGTGACTTGTCAGCTGCTCGTGGCGTCGCACTCTGAGCATCGACGGCCTTGACTGTAGGTGGCTGCATAGCGCTTGATGTCTTTCCGGCATCAGCATTCTGGTCTTTGGTCTGCATTGCTCGTCGAGGGCTATCTGATGATTGAGTTGTGCCCTCCAAAGAAGAAAAGAAGTGGGTCTCCAGCACAGATCTGTCCAGGCGTGTCTGACCGACAACCTCGCCTAGATTCGTCCGCTTAGGAAAGTGAGTATAGCGAGGATCAGATACCGGTTGCATCTTCCATTTAGCATAGCTTTCCTCCAACCAGAGGTGATTCACAACGTGCAACCCCCATTCTTTCGCAGCAGCGCATTTCTCACTGTTGCCATGGGCGGTCACTAGGTGCGTGTTTTCCTGCTTCAGTGTCTTGGTACACTCTGCGCCCGCCGCTGCGATCAAATTCTCCAGGTATATTCTCGCTTCGCCGACATAATTTGACAGACTGATTTTCAGCCCTTCGAACCCGGGTATTCCTGCGCGCGAGATGGGGTAGTGTAACATCCGTCGTAGCGGCGAGGTCCATGCATTGTAGGTGATCATATGGTAGAGCCACGAGAGGTTTCCAACGTCCTTACTCAATCTTGACGCCAAGCGATAACCGAATCCAGATCTGTAACGGCAGATGTAGATATCTGCTTCCGAGACGTCCGATGTCACCCGGCCGCCAGCGTCCCTGATCACCTCGACAATCGTGTTAGTTAAATGTATGCCGATCCCAAGATCTGCCGATAGCATGATCTTTTTCCCTTGGAAAACATCGAGATTTGGCCGTGGGTGAGCAGCGACGATTGACGCTGGTAGGTTGGTCGGCTCAAGCGTCGAGGCGCCAATGATATCGCGACTCTCCGATGATCGAATCGGCGCGTCGGTACCCGCGCGGAGGATTTCAGGATCTGGAAGAGTATATGGGCGCTCGTCGATTCTCCTTCCTAGTTTGAGGCAGTCATCGAACCTTTCAATTGAGATCAATCAGAATACAATAAATATAGTAGGGTAACCACGGTCATACCAATGCGGAAGCACAATCTTGATGTTCAGCTTCCTAGAAGTGACCATTCGCGCCTTATCGGAATCCACTGTCAGATCAACCAAGTGAGTGACCATACCCGACACCCTGGGACTGTAGAGACCGCCTTTGGCCAAAACGCCGCCAATGATCGCATCCTTATCGCCTTCTGGAATGTCACCGCACATAACGACAACGTTGTTCAAGAATAGCCTAGGGTCCGGGTTGTACTGTCGCGGGTTGGCCAACTTTTTCTTCGCTAGAGACGCCCGCACCCATTGCGGTTTGACGACGGGAATGAGAGCATCATTAACGGCATCGAATGCAGGGAAATCCACAGTATTTGATATCAGATGCGTGAATCCTTCTGTAAGGGGCGGGAAGTCTGCTGGCGGCTCGTAGATTACGGTCTCCCCGCCATGCGCCTCGAAGGTTGACGCGAGCTGGTTTGAGACGTCAGTCGGAGGAAGGTTGTACAGTCAACAGTACCAAGAAGTACATAGACGTACCTGATGAGCCGTATCAGGGCTGAGGTCTTTGGAGCAAATTATACAGACTTTGCATTGGTCAAAGAGCTGGAACTCTTCGTCGCGGCCCGCCATGGCGGAAATGGAGACCGCGGTCTGTAGAAACGTGGACTTTTTCTGTGACTCTTGTTTATTTATTGATCCTCCTGGCAGATAACCAGTACCAGTATCATGATAATGAAGTAAGTAAAGTGTAAATGGGTGCAGCACCTAGACGTTGTCCTTGCGATTGAGAATCTGCAAATGATGCCTGATGGATGCGACGCGCCGACGCGAGGCATCACGACGCCATGTCACGTGCTTCGGGCATGAATGCGATACGTCGTTATCCGCATAAGGCAACATGAGCATTAGTGATATCAAGCATAGTTTAATTGTTCTATTATTATTATTGGTTGCATTGCAATGCTACAACTCCATTGATGCAGCGTTCGATTCGAGCCTAGGTTTCGAGTGTGCATTCTGCGACAGTCTGCAATGCCTGAGCCAAATTCATGGAGACAGCGGGTTTTAATTACACATTTACAAGCTATCTAGGTACTTGATAGATGGTTTATGAGATCTCCCAAGTAATTTGTCGGATAGCCACAAGATATGGCAACAAGTTGCTTCACTACCGCCGAACAGGCCCGATGATCGATCACAACGGCAGTTGGGCTGATCCGCCTTGTCACTTTTTGTCCCCATCGGCCTTCAACTTCCTCGGCTCATCCCCAAGCCCCGGCAACTAGTACTGCATGTCCCCAAGAATGATCATGATAGTGGGGTCCTGGGTTTATCGATATGACAGGATTAATATTGTTGATGTCCAGCAATCTTTCTCACTGCTCTTTTCCCCTTTTCATATTTCATTCTTTGGGGGATGATTGATTCACAATGTCTTCGTCTTCGTCATCATCATCATCATCATCAGGACCCTTCCGCATCGTGGAACATGTGGTAGAATGCCAACATATCAGAGAATATCCATCAGCCACTGCGAACGAACAAGAAGATGTACTGCATCTGGCTGTAAAACAATACGTTCCACTCGATAACCCCGAACCCCAGCCTGGCGATGTGACCATACTCGCTGCTCACGCCAATGGCTTCCCAAAGGTATATCTGTATACTCTATGGATCACACACGAGCGCATACTGAATTTATGACCAGGAGCTGTATGAACCACTCTGGGAGGAGATATATGCGCGCTCCAAAGCCAATGGGTTCCGCATTCGAAGTATCTGGATGGCAGATGTGGCGCACCAAGGACAAAGCAGCGTGCTCAATGAGGATCTTCTAGGAAATGATCGTGCGTTGATTGTTATCCGGCCAACCTCTCGAACGTGATAGACTAACTAGTCCACGTCAACAGCTAGCTGGTTCGATCATCCCAGAGATCTACTTCATCTCGTCAATGTCAAGCGCAAGGAAATGCCACGTCCAATCGTCGGAATTGGCCACAGCATGGGCGGCGCTCACCTGTGAGTCTACCTGACTCAACCCTTGAATAGCCCATGCAAGCGACTCTAACGCTATCGCAGTGCGCAGCTATGCCTAATGCACCCCCGACTCATCCACACCCTAGTCCTACTAGACCCAGTCATCCAACGCCAAACCACCCAGCTCGAGCCGCGACCCCTGTTCAAAGACCAGCTCGTCATCGCCAAAACCACCCAACTCTCCACCTACCGCCGAGACAAGTGGCCATCCCGCAAAGCCGCCGCAGAAGCCTTCAAGAAGAACCCCTTCTACCAAACCTGGGACCCCCGCGTCCTTGACCGCTGGATCAGATATGGTCTCCGAGACCTCCCTACCGCCATCCACCCGCTAGACGAGACCGCAATCTCCCAAGGCAGTGACCGACCAGTCACGCTCACAACGACTCTCCACCAGGAGGTCTTCACCTTTTCACGGCCCAACTACGACGGGCCCCCGGGCAAAAACGTCCCGATTAACCGGGTAACGCATCCCGATCTGAACCCCAAGCACGTCGGCTCGTTTCCTTTCTATCGGCCGGAGCCATCCCGTATCTTCGCTCAGCTCGAGCACCTCCGTCCGAGCGTGTTGTATATCTTCGCCGGCAAGTCGGACATGTCTCTCCCCGACATGATGGCCGATAAGATGAAGCACACGGGCACGGGGCTTGGCGGCAGTGGCGGTGCGGCCGAGGGACGTGTGCGCGACGTTTATCTCGAAAAATATGGTCACTTGCTCGCCCAAGAAGGGCCCATTGAGTGTGGTGAGGCGGCGAGCCGATGGCTCGGCAAAGAATTGGAGCGATGGAGGGCGGAGGAGCAAGCCTTCCGAGAGCCGTGGAGCAAGAAGTCAAAGGTCGAGAAAGTGACTATCGATTCACGGTGGAAAGAGCATGTACCTGCGCCCGTGAGGCCTAAGAAGGATTCCGATGCCAAGTTATAAGAGGCTCGGATTTTCCTATAGAGCCATGCAACGAGAAGAGTGCCCGTATAATAGACAAACACACAAAGTATCATCTACGCAACGTCAATGCTACATAGACAAAACTTGCTTCGAAATCTGTCAAGCGACTTTCCTGTTTTTTTCATATACTTCATTTCTCGTCTATAAGTTAAGACTGAGGGATATCAGGGCAGACCTCTATAAGCTAGTTCATTCTAATGATTTACATAGACCGTTAAAGCAAGTTGAGCAAGTCTGGAGCGCCTGGCTCCACATGTCGCAGATAATGGGGCAGGCTCGAGACAAGAGAACATTTAGACAGTTAGATCAGATTGACTTCTTGACCGGTCGACTTCCGGAGTCAGTACTGACGCGGACGATTTCCGGGAAGTTCCAGAAATGAGGCCACCACAGGTCATATTCCTCTTGTCGTTTGTTCAGGCAATGGCGCAGCCAGATACCCCAGATGATATATAGGTAAGCTCCAATACCAGTCATAACATGCCTGCAAGAGACATTAGCAAAAAGCCGAATACTGGATTAATAAACCAAACCTACCACCAACCATGGCCCTCAAGGAAAATACCCCAAGGAAGGCCGACTGCGCGACGCCATCTGCGAAGGGTAGGGCAAAAGCGGTTATCCAGATTCCAAATGAGGAATCCCCCCAGAAACATAGCTAGTCCATAGGCAACCATGAACCACATTGTTTTGAGAGTCCTCACGTCCCTGACATTCTCGTAACGTCGTTGTTCCTTGGAAGGCACGGGGAGACCTTTCTTTTGACGAGCCAGCCGATCCTCCTCAGTCGAGTGCCGCAAAGATGGGCGAAGCGTCACTTCCATGGTGTACATACTTCTCAACACGACGACAATCGTCAAAAGCGCATACGCATTTTGATGGAATACGGGGTCCTGGAGGTAATGGTAGTAAAGAGTGATAAAGACGGCCAAACTCGTCAATGCGATGGCGAGAACAATACGGAAGCCGAGGGGTCTTGAGTAAGAAAACAAGGCATAGCACATCAAGCAGGTCGTGTAGATCATCGAGAGCTCATCAACTAATTGCATCGGATCTAGTAGGCAGTCAGTAACATCCTAACGTATCCTTCCTTAGTGACCGGACTTGCATTTGAGAGTCGAGTGGAATAGGAAACTTCCAGTCCCAACTACGAGATATCCGTAGAAAGCCACCTGGAAGATCGTATCATGTCCATATCGCCGACAGCTCCGGATGCCCTTGAATCCAAGCCACATGAACAAGAGATTTGTCAAACTATTGACGATTTCGGCGGAGTAGATGGTCACATAGTAGTCCTATAATTCATAACACGTGAGCACAAGACAGGATCCCAGCAGAAGTTATACACACCTCTTCACACCAGTTCAATGTAGATGTAACGGGGCTCCAATATCCGGCCCTGGAAGGCGAATACGGAATGGACGTTGGGAAAGACCACTGAGGCATAGTGGCTCTCCGCGGCGGGTATTGGACAGTCTTTAAGCTGCGCCGAGTAAAAGGGTTAGGATATGGATGGCATCGCAGCGAAGAGGGGAAAGAAGAGATGTAAGAAGAAGTCAAAGAGGCGCCTTAGTCATGTACCATGTGTAGACAGATTCTATTCCCTGGTCAGAAAGCACTTCCTCCCTTGGTATGCAAGGAACCTACCGGTTACGCTTCCACCCAAGCCCGTGACGTCGATTTATTACACAAATCAGCGGGACCCATCATGTCAACTTCGCATTTGCAGCGTGCCGATTGGGCAGACCAAACCTCCGCAGGCAGCCGAAGCCCCGGCGGAAGGCGTATCGTCATGGAATTACGGGTCTGTAAGGTACCGTACCTACCTTACTGGGGCTACCTATTATCAGCATTTGATAGGGTATTTTTACCTAACCATTGATGCTGTGTTCAGATTACCTATGCATTCTTCATCTGCAGGGAATGCTTGCAGAGAGTTATCTCGAATGAGGTCAGGTCATTGAATAGGAATACAATAATTCCAAATAAATCGCTTCATCTATGGACGTATCCTTCTCAGAAGACATGGATGGGACATAGTGTAGTGCTCTAGAGGGTGTATCTACCTAGGTACATTAGGCAGCTCTGTATCATCATATGATATGCCGTATGGTCATGTAAAGGGCGGTAAGGTGTATCCAGATGTGGCTGGTGCTTGGTCATCTGCAGCCAATCACATCGCAATCGGCCGGAAATCTGATGACTTCACTGATAGTTGTGCATCTGAGGAAAACGTTGCACCCTCTGCGCTGAGAAAGGCACAGTCAAATCTCACTGATCTCACTGCATAACTTAGAATTGACTCAGACCTTTCGTCGCACTTCATTAGCACTGGATTTCTCTTTGAAATGTGGTCCTTGCATATTCTGTTGTAAATCGACCGCTGAGCGGTCTCCAAGTTCTGGTTAATATACAGTGCTGGAGCGCTGTTGCTAACACGAACGAGCTCAAGCCTATATCATCAACATTGATAGAAGATAGTGAGCTCCCAGGGCGGACCTGTGGAACTCCTGCAAGGGAAATGTCGAACAATGCTACATACGCAGTGACACCAGTGAAAACCACCACCACATGTATGAACGTTGTGACTGGGTCTATTCTTTGAACGAGACTACCAAACCCAAGGTCTCAGCCCTGTGACAAGATTGCTAATGCTCTATTTCTGTTCAGCATCCAAAACCACATTCCATTTCGTCGCCGGTCTCTGCTCTGGCTTAACCTCCTCCATTCTTCTACAACCCGCAGACCTCCTCAAGACCCGCGTACAACAGTCTCAGAAAACCGCTTCTCTCCTACCCACTGTCAAGACGATTCTCTCCTCTCCTAATCCCATCCGCGGTCTATGGCGTGGTACACTTCCTTCGGCCCTTCGAACGGGCTTTGGCTCAGCTCTATATTTCACCAGTCTGAATGCCTTACGTCAAGGCTTAGCGCAGACAGAGGCTTCCATGGCCATCGCCGCATCAAGCGATGATGGAAAATCTCGTACTTCGTCGTCTGCGCTACCCAAATTGTCTAACTGGGGCAATCTAGCCACCGGCGCCGTTGCACGGACAGCTGCGGGTTTCGTGATGATGCCGGTCACCGTGCTCAAGGTACGCTATGAATCCGATTATTATGCGTATCGCAGTCTCTACAGTGCGGGGCGCGATATCGTCCGTACAGAGGGTGTTCGGGGCCTATTTTCAGGATTCGGGGCGACTGCCGCGCGGGATGCCCCGTATGCAGGACTTTATGTTCTTTTCTACGAGCAATTGAAACGACGTCTAGCCTCGGTTGCGAGCTCAGAGCAGTCAGAGCAGCCACTCAAATCGACTTCGTCTTCATCCATCAACTTCGTGTCTGGTGGATTGGCTGCTGGCCTGGCCACGGCGATCACCAACCCTTTTGATGCCGTCAAGACCCGTCTGCAGCTCATGCCTGGCAAATACGGGAACATGATACGTGCCGTCCGGTTGATGATCCACGAGGATGGCATCCGAAGTCTGTTTGGCGGCTTGGGGCTTCGCATTACGAGAAAGGCACTCAGCTCAGCACTTGCCTGGACTGTCTATGAAGAGCTGATTCTGCGGGCTGAGGCTCACTGGGCTGAAAAGGACAAGATCAACTTATGATGATAAAATTATGACCTTGCCATACTATATTTTTCCTTCTTTGAGACTTCTCGGTGCTCGTGCAGCGGTTTACAGGCAATTACGGGAAAACAGAACATGGCGTCTCATCCTGACATTGAGCTTCTTGTATCATATATAACGATGAATATCCCATCTCAACCAAAGAAATGACACAAACTCAAAACCGAGTACAACTTGACGGCTAATAACGTATTATAGATCATCAGACATCACCAAAAGGACACCGTCTTCAGCAAAAGCCCATGAGAGTTGAGGTTGGGCATTCAATGCGAAAAGGCACGAGGCAAAAACAATCTGGTATACTCCGATATACCACCCAGAAACATCAATAGGCTCATTATGTGAAAATCCATGCCTTTCGGTTGGGGCTCTTCTTGCGCACAAGGAACATCTTGTCTTTCTTGCGATCATTGACTTTGAGTTCGGTTAGGGTGCTTGAGGTCTCAGTGATGACCTTGCCTTCGCGTAGTCGCCGTGTGTGGGCAAAAAGCTCTTCCTGGAAATCTTCAGGGATCCATTGCTTGATGATAATGTAGTTGCCGTCGAGCTATGGGGAAAGGACGGTCAGTATGGCGCCCTATTTGATTTGCAGGTAGACAGATGACTTACCTCGTCGAAATCCCAAGGCAGGCGATAAGCAATCAGCGTCTCTGGGAGGATATACTTGCGGTGGACCTGCAATCGATGGTGTCAGATCTCATGTAATAGTTGGGCTGGCTGAATCCAGATCACTTACCTTGATCCACGTACTCTTGTGGTGCTCAATCTCCTTCTCTTTTTCCTTTTCCTTTTCTTTCTCCTTCTCCTTTTTCTCTTCCTTGTCTTTCTTCTTCTCCTCTTCCTTGGATGGATTCTTCTTTTTGTTGATGATGTCCTCAATCTCTGCCTCGGTATAACCAAACTCCATCTTTAGTCGATGCCTGAACTCGCGGTCTTTTCTCTCCTTCTCCTCCCGCTCAGCAATGCGCCTCCGCTCTTCGGCGATCTTGTATTCCTCGATAGCAGCCTGCTTCATGGCCGCCTCCTTCTTGTCACGTTCCATCTGCTCGAGCAGCTGCCTTGCTTGCTCATCACGGAGTTGCTTCTTGAGACGCTCGCGCTCTTCCTCTTCCTCCATCTTGCGCTGAAGCTCCTTAAGTTTCTCCTCGCGCAGCTTGGCCCGGACTTCTTCCTGCTCCGCAGCCTGGCGCTCCGCCTCTTCGAATTTTCGTAGCTTGAAGCGGAACTCGGCCTGCCGCTGTTCCTCTTCCATGCGCTTCTTCTTCTCGAACCGCTCAAGTCGTCTTAGACGTTCACTGATCTCATCTTCGTACCAGTCTTCTTCTTCTTTAACAAGTTGAGTCTGGTTGTTCTCATGTTCACCGCGCCGGCGAGCAAGCTCCCGCTCTAGACGTTCGATCTCCATCTGATGCTTCACGAGCTCGAGGTCCTGGCGTACATCGTTCTTCTCGAGCATCCGTTGATCAATCACCAATTCAAAATCACGGTGACGAGGAGAAGCCTCGCGAGACACGCTGGTGCTAGCACGAGGTCGACGGTGCTTTCGGAGAACAGTTTCATCCTCCGATTCGATGTCGACAATGGTTGTGTCCTCCTGGCGCTGCTTGCGGTTCTTGTTGGCACTCCTGTTGGTGCTTTTGTTGCGGGTGTCGTTTTTGATATCAACAATGACTGCGGGAGGAGGGGGAGGGGCCTGAGGTTCACGGCGGCGCCGACCGCCCGTTGAAGCGGAGCGATGGATACGGACGTCTTCATGCAAGACAGGACTGAGATAGGTCGTGCTGCTGAAATCAGGATCATAGCGATGACGAGAAATAGAACGTTTTCTGACGGAGTGTCTGTGGCGGGGAATGTCCATGGAGACGTCCGACTCTGAGTAGTCTGACTCTGACTCGGTAACTAAACGTGCATGACGAGGCATCTCGATCAGCGTTTTCTTCTGTCTAGGAATTTAATTATATATGTGATCGTATTGTGCGGTCGAGGCTGACAAGGCTGAATCACGTTGGGTATCAAAGCGGGGTGGCGCAGGAATCTATATATGAGGAGGTGGGCGGCAGCTGTATAGAGTTGCGAGGACTTGAGAGGAAGGATAGGTCGATAAGAGAAGAAAAGAAGAGATGAAAGGCAAGGACAGAAATAGGACTGGCCCTAGAAAACGGAGAAGAGGAACCAGCCACAGCTTTCGTAAAAGCGGGAACGGCCAGCGCTACGAAGATCTGACGAGGTTGAATGGATGATGACATTCAGCTGAAGTGGGGGAGGAAGCCGGTTTAAGTATCGCAGGAGACTCGAGAGATCATCCCCTCGCGAACGGTCGCAGCAGCCTAACTATGGAGTAGTACTAGTGATTCTTCCTATCGATTTCCCGTTTGCCTGACACTGTGGATTTGAGAATGATAAAAGACAGCTCCAAAATATTGACTCTCAATATTGACTCGCCTCGAGCTCTATCTAGTGCGCATGCTCCATCCCGAGTGCACATTGTCATTGTAGGTGAAACGCCAACTGGCGGCTATAGAAACAATCGACCAGAGCGATCTAGATGGGGTTAACCTCGACTGGATGCCAACCTTGCATCTTCACTGCTTTAGGCGCCTATTCACTTCTAGTACAATCCCCAGATCCGTATCCAATAACCTATCCTCCCTGTTCCTGATCCAAGGAAACTAATCGGTTGATCCCGCTGTGACCCAAGAGTTATTCCCAGAGGCAACGTTCTACCTACTTTTGTCAGGACTTACCTCAGCTGCCATCTGTGTATCCACACATCTGACACTAGGGCGTGACATCCCTCGTGATGAGGAAGAGAACACTGGACTTTGGTGCTGTTGCTGCCCGAGCACATGACGCCACCCACGCAATACTTAGGGGTGGTGATACTAGCTATTCGGGTGGGCCTGTGGCGGATGAGGTTCTATCTCCCTTGTCTGCCTTACTTTAAAGTACGAGAGACATGAGATTACGCGTAGGTATGATTAAGCTCCACTCTCGGACTGCCTTTTTACCTGACAGCTCCTTGGGATGTCGATCGCTAGTTTATCGGGTTTGCAGTTGATGAGCAGGATTCACTTTGGCCACAGTTGATGCCCAGCAATGGGCGGAAGTATGACTATGTGAAGAATACCTCATATATGAGTTCTAGTACAAGAACCAGTCATCTTTAGATATGGTTCTGACCCACACTATCCCTAGTTGAATCGGTATCCAGATGAGTGACCTGCCTTTGCCTAACCCAACCCGATCGGACCCGCCGGACATACTTCATACTCTCGGGTATTCTTCACGAGTAGTTGTACACTCTCCCAAGGAGCGATCGGACGCTGGCTTGTTCAGGGCATCTGTGGGGTCTCATCGCACTTGCGTCTGCTCAACAGCCCCGGTGACCCGGCAGATCGAAGCATTGCAGATCATGTAGAGCGTTTCGCTCTCCGCCATACCAGGGGATATCTTCAACTATCCCAGGCTTTCCCAAATATATGATTGAGGCAGTTCTTGTCTGCCGACTTGCCGTGCACGTGATATTGTGTTTGACTTCATTGATCATGCTCGTCCACCAGACTTCAGAATCTGCTCCAGATTTTCACGACTGTTCTTGTGCGTCATCTCGAGATAATTCAATTTCTTCTCCAGACCCTCGATGTCTGTTTTCAGCTCAGTTCTCTCGGCCGCTAACCGCTTGTCAACCGTGTCCATCGGAACTGCCACGAACCTACCGACAAATAGGGACAGTCAGCCTTGTCTCGAGGTCCTTACTCTCCAGGGCAGCTGATAGCCGCGCAGAACCTTGTACTCACATTTTCCCGACGCCCTCGTAGACCTTTGTGTCTTTGGATAGCGATCCGATTTCTTTCGATGTCAATTCGAGGAGGCGGATATTCTTCTGCTTTGCGGTGATCTGTGCTTTGGTGACGCCAATCTGCTGCTGCGAGCTGATCGCTCGAGCTTCAATCTCTTGCAGCAACTATAAAACCAGTGTTAGAAGGCGAAAATATAGAGATATACGCCCGCAGCCAACTCGTACCTTCTGGAGAGCTTCGTTGGGGATAGACATGTCGAGGGCAAATATAGGACGTGGAGGGGTAGTTGATGAGGGGAAAGGTTCGTGTCCTTCGGTTGATCACTTGCGATGTGTTTCAGTGTGGTGGCGGTGAGTACTATGGGATTTGGGACTATGCAGGTTCCTCAAGCATTTGTGTTTGTTCGAACTATCCGCGGATCTTCGATGCAGTTAGATGGAGCTGAACGATACCAATGTACAGAGTTGTACGGTTGTACCCCATGAACCCATACTTGGTCTGAGCTTTGATGGCCGGGCGGTAAGGGAAATTACCAAATACGGCTACCTAGGGCATAGGGTCTGGGCTCATGAGAGGTACAGATCTGTAGTATCTCTCGAGGATTTTATTTTATTTTGCAATAGTTAGTTAAGATGGGATGTACAGATATGCAGGTTTTGTGCCTACTCACTAGCGGCTTGTGATCTTGTGGATCTATCACAGGTTGAGATTATCCATGTTGTAGTCAGGATTTATATACATCGATGACAATAAATCATCCGCAGAGGAGTTAATGGAAAGTAGCAATAGCAGAGAAGCAAGAAGATCGAGCTTGACTGAAGAGCATATTCTGTCAGAATCGCGAACCCAGGGCTGGTCATGATACATATATTAGGTACATCAGCAGATGCCTATACAGCCAGATGTTAATGCCTAAAGGACAACGACGAGACAAAACAGGGTCAAATGGGTACGCTTTACATTCGAGTCTCTATGACAGTGTCATTTTCTCATAATTACTACTAATTCATAGGAACCACATTACAAGTACACAAGTGTTGCTGTTACCTATGATTATCATTATTCTGCAATGACTGAAACAATATAGGCTGGAGGACGCAGTCTCTGTGAGCATCTCGTACTCCAAAGCTATGACGATATCACCAAGAACAATGCTAAGGTCGGTAAAGCTAGTGGTTACTAGCACTTAGGTGGTGGGTGTGACCAGAACCAACAATGACATCTCAAAAAGAATTTAACAAAACAATGTATTTCTGGAAGACTCTGAGAGCCCAAAATAAGTTATTTATCTCCAGCAAAAGAACCACCAGAAGAAAGGTACATGTGGGCAGGGATTCTGCGGTTGGCCGTCGGACCTGATGGCCCATCGCCCCGTTGCTGCAGGGATGCTGGTGGAGACTGTGCTGGAAGCGCAGCCCGTTGTGGACTATGGAGGCATACATCATCCACGCCTCGCTCTCCATTTTGTTGACCGATCTGAGTGATTCAAAGACAAGGTTTAAGCAAGAAGAGATTGTAAGTTTGTCAAATTCCCCATGATCATTCATTTGGGTAGTCGATTCCCTGTTCCACCATCCGTCAAAACGATACTAATTGTTTTGGTTTACTACTAGTAGTCATTTGTTGTTAGCCGCCAAAGTCATCGCCCAAGTTGGCACCGAATCTCCAGAACCATATTTGGAACGCCGTTATAATCGTTGTTTCCGACAGATACTGGAACAGTTGGGCTGTGATAGGGTCCAGTGGGCGGATCGCAGCCTCTGGCAGCCAGAATGAAGCCTTCATTGTGGATCACGGCCACATTCCTCGCTTCCACGGTCCTAGCTATAGAGACATTGCCATTCTCTCTCCCGCAATTCGCAGAAACCAGCAAAAGAGCATACGACGTCTTGAAAATCCTGAAGCGCGCCGATAATAATTGCCCGGGGGGTTACAATCCTTGCACCAACCTAGGCCATTCCGACGTTTGCTGCAGAAGCGACTCAATCTGCTCTCGAGACGCCGCCGATAATATCGCTTGCTGCCCTACTGGGGCAAAATGCACAGGAAGCCTTACGGGGACGTCCACTGGCACAGACACCAGTTTTAAATTTCCCGGAACCGCAACCGCGACACCGACTACGACTACCAACGACGCTTCAATAACCGGCTCAAAGTTGACGGGGGCCTACCCGTTCATCTATGTCCCCACCACATTCCCCAATGCAGGCATATGCTCGTCGTACTGGTCCGTTTGTCAAAGCGAGTATTCGCAGTGCACCGCGGCACTTGGAGGTCGCTACGGAGTCACCGTCGCAGGAGGCGGTGCGGGAGTCACGGTTGTGGCCGGTGGTGCAACGACCGCTGCGTCTGTTTGCTCGAGTCTGAGTCAAGCTGCTTGCCATGGGCTCAACCTGGCGTACTGCGGCACGTATGCCACGGGAGGAAGCAGTCCGAACATTGCTGTATCGGGCCGCACCTCCAGCTTGCATGACTTAGTTTTTGGTATGGTCGTTGGGGTGGCGGGAATGTTCATCTGAGCCTTTTGAGGCGATATGAGACGCCCTCTAAAATTTGTTTGACAGATGTTCCAACAGGGCGTCATACAGATTGGCCTGTTTTCACGATTCTTTCTCTTCTACGCTTTGGATGACCCATGAAACGATTGACTGATGATATGTACGCATGTATTTGAAATGGCGCTATGTTTCCCAATATGCTTGTATATAGAAGACGAGGTGCTTTCAAAGATTGATCCGATAAAGCTTCACCTACCTGACTTATCTCTGACGACATATTCGAAGGTATTGTGTATGCTTCAAGGTTGATCGACTTATTTATCAGGCACGTTGTGAAAATCCCTCCTCCCTCACAGTCATTGGTCGGTCAGAATGGACTCGATTAAGTGCGGCCTGACCTGGTGGATACAGGGAAACTCAATGCCTTCGCTATGCGCAGGAAATGCCCAATCTCATGCCCAAGCTTTCAAACTTTCGGATTTCCAAGGCATTAGCGTCTCCGGATTGCCTGAAGATGTGTTGTTCCTACATGAGTATGGAGCACATCTGTGCATACACCGCTCTAGCGATTCGAGTCGAGCAGCCGACACGTCAGTGAGTCTTAATACTTAACTAGCTCAAAG